CACTGTGGAAAAGTCTGACCAGACCCAGGCAAAGGGTGTTCCCTGGGATGAGGACATCTCTGGGCTCCCAGACAGTGCTGGGCTCGATGACCCCGACACATCTGATCTCAAGTCGTCGGATACTGGGTGCAGAGCTGGGAAACTGGAAAATGGGATGACGGTGTCGTCTGAAGATTTGGTGGTAGAGAATGGGGATGGAAATAGAAATTGTGACAGTGTTCAGGGTGAAGAAGGAAGCCAGTCGCAGATGTTGCCACGAGCTAATGTGGGAGAGTTGCATGACCCTACAGGGCTGGAGGGGGAGAGGAATGACGGAGCAGGAGGGAAACCGAAGAGACAGGCGAATCCCTCTCGGAGGAAAAGAAAAAATGACAGAGAGGAGAAGAGTGGGTCAACTGCTAAGTGTAGAAAGAGAAGCATCAAGCCCTCTGTGCTGACAGTGGAGGAGGGGGGAGCAGATGGTGACTCACTGTCTACCAACACCAGGAAGGGCTCTCTTGTGGTGAAGATAAAGAGAGAGAAAGTGTTCAAGGATAATTGTGTACCTGAGCCAGGGGATAAGGAAACGGTGTCTGGTGATGGGAATGGACCTCTCAGGGGTGCAGTCTTGAACCAAAGTCATGTTAATGGAAAGAAAAAAAAAGTGAAAAAATGGGCGGTGGAGAAAGACGTGTGGTGTGAGTTCTGCCACTTGACGTTCAAAAGTCAGCAAGCATTCTTTGACCACAGGAAGGCCAATAGGACTGAGCTGAACTGTAAGCTGTGTGGCAAAGTGATGCCGTTCCGTGCTCACCTCATGGTGCACATGCACAAACACAACCGGAGTATGCTGGATCAGCTGGCTGTGTCTGACGCAGACACAAGTCAGCTCGTGCTCACTTCGTCCACTTCCAACTCTGCCAGTCAGGAGGAGGAAGGCGGCTCGGAGGAGCTGCACAGCAAGAGAGGGGTTAAGGGTGTTAAGTGTGACGTGTGCAGTGTGGTCGTGTCCAACATTCCTATTTTGAAGACACACATGATGACTCACACAGGGGAGATGGCGTACCGATGCTGTGTGTGCCAGGAAGAGACACATTCCATCGCCCGATTCAACAACCACATGATGAGCCACGCCAAGGGCGGTCAGGTACAGTGCAAGGTTTGCAATCTCTTCTTCCCGTCGCGGGCTGACCTCTGTAAGCATCAGCTGAGCCACGAGTTCAAATGCAGTCTCTGTGGCCGCGGGTTCCCCAACAAGACCAGCCGTGCCTTCCACTACAAGATGGCTCACAAAGAGGACATCCTAAAGTGCAGCGTTTGTGGGAAGCTGTTCTCCTGCCCGGACGAGCTACAGGCTCACCTCAACTACCACCGCAACCGCACCAAAACCCAGTGCCCCATCTGTGGCCTGTTTGTGTTTCGCCTGGAGTACCACATGATCTCTCACAGCGAGCGAGCAGAAGATGTCAGCATGTACACTTGCGGGAAGTGCCAGAAAAAGTTCAAGCAGAAACTGTCCTACCAGAGACATCTTCATACACACACGGGAGATAAACCCTATGCCTGTATGGAGTGCCCCAAGAAGTTTGCCCGCAGTAGTGGCCTGCGACGTCACATGCTCACCCACAGCCAGGAGAAGCCATTCGTCTGTGACATCTGCGGGAAGGCGTGCTCGCAGATGGGGAACTTGCGGATACACATGCAGATCCACAAGGCAGGGGGCGTGTCAGGAGGTGTGTCGGGAGGTGTGGCAACGGCTCAGTGCCCCTTGTGTGACCAGAGCTTCCCCCACAAACACTCACTGCAGGAGCACATGAACTCTGCCCACTACGCCAAGTTGAGTGCAGTGGAGACCACTCCATATATGCCTCCCACCGCCAATCCCCTGTCTGAGAGTGCTCACACCATGGCACACACGTTCTACTCGTCTTGACTCTGATTTCACCTTTTATGCTGTCTTATCATGATGAAACGACGACAAAACTGGCACACTATACCACACAGTTTCAACACGCCTTGATCCTGACTTGACCATATTTGGTCTAATAGGAAAGACGATAGTAAAAAATAAAGTGACACACTGCAGAGCACAGTTTCTGATCTCCTGGACTGCCCTCCGTCCCTATGCTCCCGTGTCTCTTTGCTGTTGCATGCTGGATGTGAGTCTGAAGAGTGTGAAGGGAGGTCTATTTTACAAAATGTGTTCGTCTTTCTGCTGAGATGTTGTGTCTCAGTGGGCCCGCGTCGCCCCTGACAGGCAGGAAGGGAAACCCTCGGCAGTTTCGTGACTGCATTGTATGTCTCTCCACCTACCCATCTCTTAAAAGTCCATGGGTTGTTACCTCAAGTAAGTTGTGGCAGTTGCTGATAAAAAGCAGTTCAGAATTGTGTGTTTGCTTCGTATTATCTGTGAGTTGAATCTTGTTTGCCGTCTGTCAAAAATCAGTGGAACTTTTCTCAAAGGACTAGGTAGGTGGTTGGAGGTAGCCACTGGTACGTCCCTAAAATTTTTTTTCTCTCTGTCTGTTGTTTCTGTCTGTCATCCATACTCTTTCCCTGCACTAAATGGCCATTGTTGTGTAGAGATGTGTTTTTGGTTACTTAAACTCAAGAGGCTTGGAGGTTGTGCTTGAAGAGTGTCCTGTTTTGAATATCTGTTTTTCACGTACACGCCTACTGTCATTCTAGTCTTTCTTTGTGGGTAGTTGTAGTTGTAGGGACTTTTGTATGGTTTGCTTGTTCTTTCCCATCAAACATCTATCATTCCTATCTCTCCTCCTTTGATTTAATTTGTGTCTCACTGTCTAGTAAAACCTTTAATCTTTACCACTTACATGACCTATTTGTGTTGCAAGTGCTGCAAAACTCTTACTAAAACTAAACACTAACTGCCTTTAAGTATTTCTGGTGGATGTCTACTTCTTTTAACTCCCTCTCAGCAACAGTAATTTTGTGGACTTACTTCTCTTCACTAACACTAAAGAATCATTGATGTGGTTCTCTCTTTATTCACACTAAAAGACTGGTATTACGTGGATATATATGCTATTCTTCACTCACATTAGTGACTGTTATTTTGTGGATGGGTTGATCTTCACTCACCATTAATGTGTCGAGGCTCTCGTTTGTACTGGCACTAAATTTTGCTGACAGTTATAATGTCACTGTGCTTCTCTTTACTCAAACAATGGGCCTGAGCTGACAGATTTCCCTTTCCTGATACTGAAGGTACTGGAGAGATTTGCTGTCTGATTTGACTCTTGTGGATTTGGTTTGGGTTCCCCAAAGGTTCTTTATTGATTGTTTTAGATGGCGTCCCACACAGTCCGCTTTCCTTGGATCTATTTCCACTTTTTTGAAGACCGAAAGTTTTAAAGATCCTACCGATGCGTTTGTAATGAAAAAATATGTCATTGTTTTGATAAAAATCGTATCTTGAAATGACTTCGAAGTTTTATTTTTTTTCTCCATTATATCTGAAAACAAGCCCAAGTCTGAGATGATCTAAATTGTGTCAATGGGGGCATAAAAACACCTACATTAAAAAGTTTTTCAATTCTGAGAGAGACTGGCAAATCTGTGATGAGGCTAACCAGTGCTCCTGTTGTATTTTCAGGTGCCCCTTATCGCTAGCCAGGGTCAAGGCCGTTGGGTGTGCCTGTAGGTCTGCGAGTCCCCGCTTCTGTCTGTTGTGTCAGCTCAGGCCCCCTCAGCTCAGTCTCCTAGGATAGGTTGACTTTCTGGTCTGTTTCTCTCACTGAACCCATCTGCGGGACAGTGCGGCAGCAGCAGCAGTTATGGCTCTACCCACAGAGAAAGATTTCTTATTTGAAAAGTTTGAGGTCCGTGGAACTGTCTCTGTGACCATAGATGACGACCCTCCAGTTTTGATTTATTTCAAGACCAGAGTGAAAATGGAGGTGAATATGGAGGACTTAACAGGTACTGACCCGGCGGTTCATCGGGATGGTGTGGCGGTAGCTCAAACCACAGACTCGGGAGACGCTGAGGATTTTGAGAGGGAGCATTTAGACGAGCAGAATGAGGAGGGAGGGGACCTACTCTGTGGTTTGGAGGAGTCTGGTGACTCTTCTCAAGACAAGATTTCTTTGTCTAACCAGACAGATGGGATGGTTCTGATGGACTCTAGGCAGGCCACGTCTGATGTGACAGAGGTGGGACGGGCCATGTCTGATATGATGCAGACTGGACGGGCTACAATTGAGGGTGAGCAGGTCACCTGTGGTGTAATGGAGGCCGCGCAGGCTGCTTGTAGTGTGAAGGAGGCAGGAAAGGCCATGACTGAACTGGTGCTTAGTGTAGAAGACAATGGGCCAGCCGGCGGCCGTGTTTGGAAAGATTCCTCTTGTTCTGTGTCAGAGCAAGTTGCAGATCCTGTTGTTGGTGGACATGCTGATGTTGCTGTTGGTGCTACTGTTTCCTCCGTTGCTGACGTCACTGCTAGTGCTACTGTTTCCTCGGCTAAGGCGATGGGTGTGGTGAAGAGAGAGGCCGTTCAAGGTCGGAGGAGGTCTCATCGCATGTCTCAGACAGCGCCAATTGCTGGAGATGTGGTTTCTGTCGTGCCAGCACGTTCTGTGACCCGAGCTCATTCCCTCAGGACTGACGGGCAGGATAGGGCGAAGACTGCGGCAGCCCTCCGTCCTCGCAAACGACAGAGGGAAGGTGTGGAGGAGATGAATGAGGGAGTGAAGAAGAGAAGTGAGATCGTGAAGGAGAGGAGAGAGGGAGTGAAGGAGAGGAGGATTGAGACAAAGAGGAAAGTGGTTGCTACCAAGAAGAAAGTCAGCTCTTGTGATGTTGTGGAGAAGAAGAGAAGTAAATTGAGCAAAAGTGTTGCTGGTGTGTCTCTGAAGACGAGCAGCAAAAGGAAGAGTACACCTTCCTCCTCCCCGTCCGGTTCTTTCAGTTTCCTGTCAGTATTTCAGACTTCCCCCATAAAGACAAAGATCAAAAAGACGGAAAAACACCATCTGAAACAAGACAAACCGGGTGAGAAAAAAGTTGTGTCATCATCAGCAGTGGGGGCTAAAGTTGCGACGGATGAAGTAAAGTGTGGGTTTTGCCTCCGTGTGTTTCCAAGCCAGTCCGCCTACCAGGATCACACGAAAACCCCGCGTTCTGGCATCTACCCTTGCTCCATGTGTGCCAGGACTTTCCCATTCAAAGCATTCAAACAGGCGCATGAGAAGACATTCCACGCCTCATCGCACAGTGGCCAGGAGTCGACTCTGAAGGAGGCTGTCACTTTCTCATGTCATGTGTGTGGTGTCCGACTCAAGCGGATGGCGGCCTTCAAGAAGCACCTGATGATCCACACAGAGGAGTTCTTCTACAAGTGCTGCATGTGCAGCCGCCAGTTTCTAGAGCCTGGCAGCTTGCGCAACCACATGTCCTCCCACCAGTCCGGCGGCATGCTGCGCTGTCGCTGTTGCGATCAGCTGTTTGCCACCCGCGGAGCGCTGGCCAAGCACAAATTAGCCACCATGGAGATTAAGTGCTACTTGTGTGGGGAAAATTTCCCCAACCGCACCAGTCGCACGCAGCACTACAAGCGCTTCCATGAAACGGAGGTGCTGCGCTGCTCCAAGTGCCAGAGTATGTTCTCGCGGGCCGAGGACTACGCCAAGCACATGCGGGAACACAACCGCTATAAGAAGAAGCAGTGCACGGTGTGCGGCAAGTTCTTCTCCCGCCTTGAGCTTCATGTGGCTGTTCACAAGCGACCCGTGGAGGTGGAGGAGAGCAGCGTGTACGTCTGCGACAAGTGTCCGAGGAAGTTCACTAACCGCTCCTCCTTCCAGCGGCATCTGAGCACGCACAGCGAGGAGAAAACGTACGAGTGTCCCAACTGTCCCCGGAAGTTCGCCGACTGCGGGGTCTTGCGGAAACACTTGCGGCGGCACTCCACGCTCATGCCCTACCAGTGTGAAGTTTGTGGGAAGCGGTGCAGGGAGTCTGGGAGTCTCAAATTACACATGCGCGTCCATGCAGAAACCAAACAGTTCCCCTGCCCCGTCTGTCCACAGGCCTTCAACTACAAGAAGTCGCTAGAAAGCCACATGCGAACTCGCCATTCCCAGAGCCTGTTGGCGCAAGATGCTGCTGCCTCCACCAACAGTCATGTGACGAGTCATGTGGTGACAGGTGACCACAAGGAGGTGATAGGGAACAGCGCGGGGGTTCATCCTCCGGCTTTTGCTGAGATTGAGGCTAAACCATTGTACCCCTCCCTCACCTTCCCGTCAGCCGGCCTAGAGCCAACTCATACTTTACGACCTGTGGACCTGGAATCAACTCACACCTTACGACCCCTGGACCTAGAATCGAACCATACCTTACAGCCAGTCGACATAGTATCAGTTCACGCCTTACGACCAGTTGACCTAGAATCGCACCACCCTCTTAAGCCAATCGACATAGTGTCGGCTCATACCTTACAGCCAGTTGACCTCGAATCAACTCACACCTTGCAGCCCGTGGACATAACGTCTAACCACTCCTTACAAACGGTGGAGCAGCTAGGGTCAAAACCTACCGTGTATGCCGGTGTGGGGAGTCAGTTGAATGCGCTCAACCCGATGAGTCTATCAGTCCCCTACTGCGTCCCGCAGGTCTCTCCCCACCTCATGGTGGCGAGCCAGGCGCAGGAAGTGACGTCATCCGTCTCGGCAGACGTGCCCACTGTCAACGTGACCCTTTATTGATTGTTTAGGTGGGTGGTCTTTTTGCTTCTGAGTGTTCTAGGGTCTGCTAGGGTAGAAATAGTTGTTAAGTGTTAAGCGCATAGAGCGTTCTGTAGAGGGTGGATTAAATTCCATTTTAATTTTTGTTATTGTTGTTAATATTTTTATTATTATGATGATTATTAATATTTTTATGATTTTTATGATTATGATTATTATTATTATTATTTTTGTAATGAGGTCTTTAATTGATTTAAAGTGATCTTTATAGATTGATTAGTGAGATAATCTTTTTTGATAGGTAGTAATTTTATTTGTCAATAGATTGTGATTGATTTGTGGTAAATCTTTATTGACTGATTTGTTGGTCTTTATAGATTGTTTAGGGAATATAAAGGACATACAGCATGTTGTAGAGCATGGATATGAATGCAGCTGCTGCTTGATAATAAATTTCATTTTTATATTATATCTATGCTCTGCAACATTCTCTATGTGCTTTTTTTATATTATTACTACTACTACCACCGGTACTGCTTCTGCTGCTACTGCTACTGCTACTACTACTAATATACCACTGCTGCTGTACTACTACTGCTGCTACTATGACCACCACCACCACCACTGCCTCCATGGCCACCATTGTCACTGTAAAATGTATGTTGTAACACTAATGATCTATGGGTGGTAGGTGGGTGCCTGGGTGTGGTTTGCTCCTTCTTTTTTTTTCCTAACATATATCATCTTTATCTCCCTTCCTTCCATTTTTTTTTTGGTATGCTACTCTCAAGTGATACCTCTAATCTTCGGCACT